AAGGAAATCAAAATTTGAGAAAGATAAAAGTAAAATGAAGACACCTCAAAGCCTTTCCCTTAGAGCAAACTGCCCAAGTCACCCCTGTGCAACTGACTCAAATTAAGTAAAGTGAAGAAAATTAGTTTCGACTGAACTATGAACCCGAACAACAAAGGCTGAGAGGATAGTTGCACTTGCAATATACTACTAGATGAGGCTTTACGCACTGTTCTTCCTTTATCTTTTAATTGAACTTTTTTTTTTGCAATAAACGACCTCTATCATTATGACACGTATTTGCAAAATCTACGTAATGAATATTTGCCTCCAATGTGGGACAAAAACTCCAAGGAATGCCCAGTTTAATACAATTCTTTTTATGCGGAACGATATGGCGTGCTTTGATGACATAAGAAAGATATTAATAAAGAAAGGATTCTTTCTGTATGTTGGAAGAAGAGAGACCGAAATTATAAGGGCGGAACCCTCAATAATCTAACGCTCAGAGAAGTAAAGTGTTATTTTATCTTTAGAGATAAATATTTCACTAACTCCGCTTGATTTCATTGGTTTCATAATTTAATCGCAAAGAGCAATGTATGTCTTCTTCTTCTACTTTATGTTTTCGCAGCTTCTTCATTAGAAGAATCGCTTGAAACCAGTATCACTTACAGCTAACCATATATGGGGTTGTTCTTTATACAAGGTGTCCTAAAACATGGGATGACTGTTTGATTGTTGATAGCCCTTATTTTCCATATTTTTTCAAAGGTTCAAAGATTCATTTTAAGCTTGCAAATTTTGACTCGTGAACAGATCTCCTAGATCTTTTTCTTACGGTAGAATTACTTTATAGGATTGTATGTTTAGCACTGGGGTGTATCTTCACATTGTCCTTTAGGAATATTTGATAGCTAAACTCAATCATGACCTCGGTCACAAAGTTACGACAAGTGATTAAGTCTAAAACTTACTTTAATTGGAATATATACAAAATCTATTCAGTAAAAACCTAGGTTCAAGCTACCCTTTGAAGGGAGCCATCAAGGCCTAGAAAAGTTCAAAAAAAAAACAGCACAATGATCACATTTTCGGGTTCCCTTTTACATCGCTCTTATCGATTTAATTTTTGGTTAAATTGGAAGTTTGTGCGGCACATTGCAATTCGGTTCTCAATACTTTTGCTAATTGCTTGAAAGGACATATAAGATGGTGACTCCGGGTTTTGATCTGATTCTCAATAAGTGCACGTCTTCGATGATAAAATATTTGAAGGACGGCAAACTTTTCGTAGCTTACGCAATCTCTGCATGCAGCCTATTAAATGACAAAAGTTGTTCACCCATAGAAACAATGCTGGAAAAAAAGAGCAAACTGATGCTCTCCCTAGCACTTCTCAGGAGAACTTGAAGACAATGAGTGGAAGTCCTGTCTATCATACGCGACGTGTTCACAGTGATAATACTATTCTTATTCCGTGAAGGAGAAGCACAATTTGTCTCGCTGGTGCTACTCAAGCAGAAAAGTGCATATGCCATGTAAGTGCTCTCTAGTGCGAAGTTAAAGATTCAAACATAGTGTACGGAAGCCGAGAATTAATTTGCATTTGTAATAGCTTATCTACGGCAGTGTGGGAGACATGTTAGAAGATTTCTTATTCACAAAACTCTGAAAGACAAACAAAACGAGCTAGTCCAATCATTCCTAACTCTTTTAGAGAACAGCAGAAACAGTGCATACTTAACGAACTTTACAATACACCTAAACAAAATTCCAGCTTTTAGTGAATCAGAAAAAAAAACTGAAAAAAGATTCTTTTCCGCTAAACAAGCGCACTATTTTAAGAGCTATGAGTTCACAGTAGCGATGGAGCACACTTGTGCAGTTAGATGATTTTTCTATGCAATATAAGTTATGACTTCTTGGGTTACATTCATCATGTTTGCAAAAATGGCAGATCGCAATAAGTTCTCTGGTTAAAACCAACTGTATGACTTATAGCTCAAGGCTCGTAAACTTCAATTTAAAGTGACACAAAAGTCACAATCTCTGATGGGGTTTCGATTTTCGTCATGGTTGGATTTTGCGTCATTGTCTGAGAAAAATTCATGCTTTCGAGCAGCACCTTAAAGTTCGCAGCGCTCCTTACTCATAAATAGTCAATTTTTTTCCATAAAATCTTAACAAAAAACCTACATTCTTTTGAAAGCGTTTTGCAAATAGGGAAAAAAGGCGTATAGTCACTATTACATTTTGTGGCGAACGCCGATTTCGACCAAAGCAGAGCGACCAGCTATAAGCTGGACCTAGCAGAAATATCTCGAGTTGAAGTATTTAGAAAACTTTTCTTTGTATGGTGCTTGGATTCTATTGCGTAAAGACGGCAGGCAATGGAGGAAATATAAAAAAATAGTTAGAAAGCGTTAAGTCTGGTCATAAGACGTTGTTCCATTAGTGCACTTACGTCTATGAACGCCATGAAACCCTTCATCTATTAGCAAGAGTAGACAGAATCCCAAGCAAAGATCTCTATTTATAAAAGTTTTCTGATGTGGTCATATATTGGGTATTGGTACTGCAGTCTGATATCTAAGATGTACTACACAAAGTTACGCAAAACCCCGTTAAAGAAAGATTACACAATAGGACATAAAAAGAGAAAGCTTTTACAAAGATCTATTTGATATTCGTCCTACATGAATGTTCTACGCCTTCTACCTGAGATTAACATAAAAAATCAAAGCTGGGGGTAAGCAGTGGATTGCAGAAGATTCAAAAAGAAGAATAGTTACTGCCAGCAAAGCCATTGATTTTTTCAGACATCTAAATACTGGTTGTCAAACAAGTTCGCGCCGTTTTCTGTCTAGCACGAAAATTTTCTGAAAAACTGGAAGTTTTGGCGAGATTTTATAATTATTTGAAAGAAGGATTCTCCCTCTACAAAATAGTGTACTTGACTTATCTAGCGAGTTCATCTTCCTCAAACAAGAAGTGATTGAAAATAAGTTCAAAGGACTGGAGTTTAACAGTCAGCTTAATTTTTTTATAATCTAAGAAGCTTGAAACTGCTATAATGTTACCTTGTGAGGTAGTCAGGGTCTAACAAGTTGCCTAACAGGTTCCTTGATATGCTCATTACAAAAAGATACCCACATCGTGTAATAAGCTTTCGCTTTATATCGGATTCACGGTGGTAAGTTCAGAATGACTGACAAAATGGAAAAAGTGAAT